TTGTATGGTCTTGGCCATTTAGGATTATTACTCCACTGTGACTGTCAGGAAACGTGGCAGGGAATATTATGTTGCCTGTAAGGGTGAAAGTGCTAAGTGCCAGCCTGTATGATAAATAAATGAGCACTGACCAAAGGACAATGTGGGTCTGTTAAAGCATTTGGTGGTGGTGTGCTTCTGTGAGAGCACATGGTAGGGCTTTAAAGTATTCAAAGTAGCTAATCGGGCATTGGGAACATGGATATTAAAGTCCAGCTGTAGCAGGGTTATTTCTTGATCAGATAAGAAAGGAATAGTAAACCACGGAAGCTATATGGACTTTCAATTTGTGTACTCATAATTTGCACTTTTGATTATTTTGTTTGCTTTGGAAGGTGAAGTGTGGTGGGGCTGGTGAGGTAAGCTGAATGCTCAGTGGGTGTTTCTGTCAAGAGCCCATAGAGGCTGGGGTTTCTTTCACCGTGGAAGGAATTTTGCTTCATAAGGGGAATACAGGAAAAGGGAGTCCTTCCCGGCAGCACCAAGGGCAGAAATGCAGCTCCCTCTGTCTCTTCCAGTAACAACAGTTCAGCTGCTGAGCTTCTGTCTGGGCTGCTGTTCTACGGGCTTTGCCTCTCCTGCAAAACAGTGACGTATACTGCGAGGCTGTGCCACATTGAGCTCGCACAGAAGTATTTCATCTAGACCTGTTTGACCTAAACTTTTATGAAAGAGTACTGAAAAATAAGCCACCATGCTGAAACTTAGCTTTCTGAATAAAAGTGACCTTATTACAAGAAAAAACCTGAAGTGTATTTTAGGAGGTTAGAGAAAAGGGTCAGTTTGCGAAATCCTCATCACAAAAGCATTCCAAGTTTTAGAGTACATGCTTATCTGTTGAAACAAATTGTTCACAATCTCGTCTACAGATTGAAGACTTTAAATGAACAAACTTTACACTCCCTTCAAACCACCTCCTCCCAACCCTATGGCAACAATTTTTTGCTTGCTGTTCCCCGAAGCAGTGCTTAAATTTCACACCCATGTTATGTGTGATGGTTGCTGTGTTAATGGTCTGTTTTTCAAACACTTCTAAGCTGTATGGAAGAACTTACACTGTAATTCTTGTGAGATTTGGGTTTAAAAAAAGAACAATAAAACATGGAATGCTTGTTTTATAGTATTTTGAATGTATCTGGAAAGGCAAAGTTGCATACCTGATAGAGTACCAAAAGCACACTAGAACTCGGAGGACTTGGTTACTCTTTCTGTTGCTGCAGCTAGTCAAGGCTCCTGCGTTTTCCTCGGTGAGGGTAAATTGAATAAGGGACCTAAAAAAAGCGTTGGTGATTCCTTGATATAATGACATCTATGTATATAGGGAAACATATCAGTGACTGTTACATCTTACTTAGTAGTAGAATTCCCATTTCCCCACCTCTTAAAGTCATTATGATCGCTGCTGTAAAGTTATCTGAGATCTACTGATTTTAAAAGCACTTTTAATAGTCTGAGTCTGTCATCTATCAGTCAACTTATTTTTGAGTTCTTCTCAAGATGTAGGCTTAATATGGAAGATAAGAATGTAATTAATATATGTAATATGGTATTGCATATATACTACATATAAGACATAGTGTAACCCTCTTTGTCTCAGCTAATACAGTTTCTTTATATAACACACAGTGTAACCCTGTTTTTATTGGCTAATGTAGTCTCTTCCTATTGAAAATACTGAAGCAGGGAATAATCTGTTAGTAATCTTATCTGACAAATCTGTTTTACAAGGCTGTGCATAATCCCTCAGTCCCTGCCAGCAGAATGGAATTTCCTTGTTCTGTGTGCCTCACAAGATAACTCTCTCGGTGAAGGAGATATCCTAGATACTTCATGACTGATGTAACAGTTATGATTTATAATATCTTGCTAAAGTTGGCATGAAATGTCACAGCACTGGTATGCTGAGTTAAAGATCAAATGCATATGAAGGTCGAGGGTAAGAAGAGAGAGAAAAGACTTAACAGTGAAAATTACACTTTGAATTTTTTTCTTGCTTCAATTCTGGGTAAGAAAGTTACTGTTAAAAATATACCAAACTTTAAGTGAACAGAAGGTGTACTATAGTAGCTGTTGTTTAAGTATATAAGCTGTTATTAGGTACCTATATTAAACTTATGTAAAATATATGAAAAAATACCATTTTTGAATTGACAAGTCTCAGTCATGTACAAATAAAGTTGTGCTGTAACTGGTAGGTGGTGTAACTATATTATCCTGGATAGATACATCTTTAGTACATTACTCTTTGCGTATATCTGTTCTGAGAAAAAGCAGTTGTTCACTGAGGAGGATAAAGAATGATTTAAGTTTTATTTTTGACTGGCTGATGCGCTCTCAGCCTTGTGGTTAGCACAGAACTGACTCACAGAAAATTCTGCCGACTTATAGGCTATAGTAGGAATGCCATCCAGATGAAGGTCTAAAAAGAGAAACTCTAGATCAAGTTTCTAAATATCACATTTCTGCTCTGTTGCCAATTTTATCTATTCAAAGGTGTGACAGTAGTTACTAGCTGATTGTCTGTTTGACAAGGGCAGATGAAGGATGCTGATGTCTAAAATGTAAAGACATAGTGCTTGTCGTTCATTGTAAGAAGAACCGAGTTACAGTTGTAAACTGGCCAAGTTATTGTGTAGCTTGAGAGAGAGAGCTGGCAATGTGTATGTGAACTTTATGTAGTCTGTTTGAATTGAACCTTCTTGATTAAAAAAGTGCTGATTATTAGAGATTATCATTTATATATATAAAAAAAATTCTACTTAAAACCAGCTGCACTTCTCTAGGTAATGTTACTGCTTGAGTATTGATTAACTGAAAAACTTTGCATTAACTGAGAGAATAAAACTAATGTCTGTTAAGGGTGTGCTGTTACAACTCTCATTGTTAAAGTAAGGCATTAGATTGCAGTGGATGTTTGATAGATTATGTGAGATAAGCAATTAGCGTTTGAAGTAAGACTGTATTGGTGTTTGGTTTTGTTTGGTTTTTTTTAAAAAAAAAACCCTACTAAACAAGGTCCCTCTCATCAAGAAACATCATCTCACTACTAAACTTACAGTTCTTAAAACCAAACCCCTTATAGTTATAGAATACAATTTCTAGAAAGCTTCAGAAACTTAAATGCTCTCTGTGGAATACATTAGGAAAAGTATTCACCTCTCATTTGACCTGGAATAGATTTGACTAGGTTGGTGACTTTTGTTTCAATTTTTCTGCTTTCATCTAATGATGCTGGAAAAAAAGAAAAGGCATTTGTGGAGTATTCTGGTGCGGAAGACCGTGACTTATACAAGCATAGTGAGGGAAGCCAGGAAGGCAGTCCCACAGACCCTCCGTTTCCAGCAAAGCACGGTGGGGTTCTGCAGACCATGGGCACGGGTCTGTGCCTGGGTTTTGGAGCATCTGGCCTGGCCCACTGCTCCCCAGGGACTGCCACTAGAGTAGCAGCAAAGATGAAGGACACAGAGTAACATCCTGCTGCTGCTTTTCTCAAGTGCTCGGCTGGCTTCCCACTGTGTACTGCTTTTCATGTGTTTCCCACTGTTTCACTGCTTTTTCCACTTCCTAGTTTGGAGCTGGTATGGGCAGTGGGCTGCAAGGGGGTCCAGAGTGCGCTCTGAAGGAAAATAATGTCTAGCAGATATAGGCAGGAGGTAGAAAAGTAACTGCTTTTCTCTCTTGTCCTGTCAGAGCCACGTGCACACCGCTGGCCACAGAGCCTGTGACGGTTTGCAGCTGTGGCTTTGCCACCAATGCTGCGGGGCTAGATGGGGTGGCAAGTCTCCTCCTCATCCCTTGCTTCCAGTTGCATGTGAAAGATGATCTTTACAGGCACTCTGCCTCAGTGGAGTAGATTTTGGGGATTTTCCAAGTTTCCCTTGGAATGCAGATTTTCTCTGGTTTAGGTGCTGCCCAGGAGGCTGTGCGGGGCCTCCCTCAGCCCTCACTGCTCTCCGGCTACAGCTTGGAAAGGAGTCGGGCAGGTGTAGTTACTCCAGATGTGATGCGGAGAATTGGATTTGTTCTGTGGTTTTGTTTTGGCTAGGCTGTTCATTACAGGCTGTAGTCGAAGAACAGAAAGCCCGAAGCCTGCCTGGACTGGCCATGTTCCTCCATACAGCACCATGGTGGGCAAAAGCACCGTCTCTGTCCCCGAGCAGTACAGCTGGGTTGGTCTCATCCTGCCTATGCCCAGGACAACAAACCTCCCTGTTAAAGAACCAGTAGCATAAACATAGGGAGAAAAAGGAGTGCGTAACACCCAGTGCTGGAGGGGAATCCCTCAGAAAGGCTGATTTCTAAAGAATCAATTTTCCCTTTCTCTCAAGCCTTGCTTTTACTAAGCTGGAACAGAGACGACCCTCACTTGTGCTGGAGGAGGGGTAGGAAATGAAGCAAACCCATCAGTGATGATGTGCTTTGAGCTAATGAGGAAACACATGGAGCAATATAAAACATTTCACGCTCTCTCATGACCCTTTCGTTTTGATAAGGTCTCTTTTTTTTTCTCATGAAACTGCTTTCAAACAGTTTTGTTTTAAGCAGTCCCTGGTGATGTTTGAATCCTGTGGAATTTGAGATGGGTGAACGTGGAAGCAAAAGATGGTGGTGGCTCTTCGGTTTGCCCAGTCTAACCTCTGGATCAAGCTGTTCTGCTCTAGCTCAAGACGTCCGTGTCAGAGCCGGTGTGCTGAGACAGGCCATAAGAGGCTGCTCGCACAGATATGTCTCTTTGCTTTGCTCCCTGCCAGCTCTTATCTGCGGAGTTTGAGCTACTGATGCTTCCTGTCATGTGTGTGAATGGAGACTATCACCTCTCCTGGGGCAGCTGGAGAAGGAGAGTTATCATTTCAGCTATGGGTCTGTCAGAGAGCCCAGAACTATGCTCTCCTTTTATCTTCTGATCAAACTCACCAAACCTAATGTACTGCTAATGTGTTTGCTTTCCTCCTGCATAGATCATGTTTTGCACTTTGAACACTCATAAAGCTGATATGGACAAGCTCTTAGGTGCACAAATTGGCCTTGAAGATTTCATATTTGCCCATGTAAAAGGACAACGAAAAGAAGTGGAAATTCTCAAAACTGATGATGTGCTTGGGCTTACCATTACAGACAATGGAACTGGCTGTGCATTTATAAAGGTAAATGTAATTATCAGTCAAATGCTTTGTTCTATAGAAGCTTCTGTCACTATAACAGGTTAATTATTCATTTAACAATCCTTTAGAACTATAAAATCTTTTATTATATTTTATTATATGGTAAGTAAAAAATACAGTTGCTTTTCCTTAGGTACCATCATTCAAAATTAGTTCAGCTATTTCTGTACTGCATGTCATTCAAAATTAGTTCATTTGTTCATTGCTTCTGTAATGTGTATCAGCTTTACAATGTGACCATTGTCTTTTCCGACCTACCCTGAGGTGGTAGGTGTTAGATACTGCTTGCATCTGCCCCCTCCTTTTTTTAAGTGATTTTTCTGATGTCATTGATTAGGTGCTTATAGAACTTCTGTCACTCGTGATAATGAGATCATGTTCTTTCAGTCTTTATGACTGTTCATAGGGCAGACGCCTCTGTGCTGTACAAGAATAGGTGCAAGTAAGGTGTTTTTTCAGCTTTCCAATATTGTTACCTTAGGTACATAGGATGAATTAAAAGGTGCCAAGGATATGGATTAACACAATTTAACATAGTTAACTTGAGTAGTAACTATAGGCAGTAACATATACAATATATTCATCATAATTGCTTTCCTCTTCATCTTCTATATGACCTCCACATAGCATGTTTTGAGACAAGTAGACTGAGGAAATGATGCTATTCTTGTTCTTAGACTAGGTATTAGGAACCTTAATCACTTTTTTTTCTGTTTTTAGATGCTTTGCCCTAATCTACTCTGACTATCCATTATTAGTGAGGCATTGGCAATTATCTTCAATTACTGCTGTCCCAATCACTGTTCTCATTGCTGTTGCAAACAGAGCTTATTGTACAAAGAGGTTGTATTCTCTATTCATTCCTTAGCTACCATGAATATAAAACAATACGTGGTTTAGAAATAGGTTTGCTTGTCCTTGTTGTGGAAAAATGTGATTGAGATCGCATTTGAGAAAGTTGAGATACCTTGGAGGTTTCAGGAAGCATTTTGGCAAAATCATAGCCTCATTTTTATGTTTATAGACAGGACTCTGAATTTCTAGTGGTGGGATCCATGCAGCCTGTAACATTCAGTCACACTGCTGTTTATGTGGCATTTTAAAAGAAGGCATTGAAAGCAGTGCTTCAGTGATTAAAGTTCACGTGTGCAGCACTGTACAGAGTGTTCTCTCTGTGCTTGGTTGTAATGTGGAGAGAGAGAACAGCCATCACATAGACTGCTTCATAATTGGAGCAGACTGGAAAACCCGCACCACATTAGCAAGACAAGCTGTAATTTCCAGTAAATTGTGTAAAACTTGTCTGAAAAAATTTATCATTGTCCCTGTACTGTCTAATAATAAGCAGTATAATGAAAATGGTGCAGTCTTTGTGGGAATGCATCTGTTTAAAGGAGTTTCCAGGAGCTTACTTTGTTGCTGTTGCATATTTAGCTAATGGATTTTTTAAAAACAACATATAAAATGCATATGGAAAAGTAAAAGCTGCATGTTTTTTACACTTGGTTGTTTAGGTAAATGACTAAGCAGAGACTGTATCTGCTTTAAAGTTTGATAGAATTGTTTTTGTTTATAGATTTACTTTCCTTGAAAAATTGTTACTATGTTGCATTACTGATTAACAGTTAGTATTAAGTTTACCTATATGTGAGTTGTTGAAAGCTATTATGGGCTGTAGTAATTTTACTGCGTTTTCAATATCAGGGCAGTTTCTAGGTTTGACATGTAACTTGGCCAGTTCTTAAAACTGACACTCTGAACCACAAGTTCTCTTCCTGTGAAATCTAATGTTGTTTTGCTTTACAAAGAACAAAACTTGGTGTCATTCTACTTTCACAAATTTGTTTTCTGGGTACATGGCCAGATGGGAAAATGTATTATGGAATCAAATTAGCTATTCAAAGAGTGACAGTAGAACTTGAAACATGACTGGCTGGTGTATAAGGAGACATCGTAAAATGAGGTGGTGCAATTAGTTTTAGGCATTGCATGGGAAGTACAGATCTAAGCTTCTAAATGGACTGTAGAGCGCTTGAAATACAGGCATATCAATTGCATCTTAATTGCTGTGATAATGTAGCTTGACGGTCTTCAGTCAGTTAACTTGGAGTGATGATAAAAACTAGGTCGTATGAAAAAGAAAAGTTTTATGTGACACAGATAACATAACCAGTGAATATTACTTAAACAGTTTTGGTGTTAGGAACTAAGTGAAGAAGAAAAGCTAAATGAAAATGGATTCGACAAGTAGACTAAACATTAATTGCAGTCTGGTGGGCATGGTTATGAATCCTGGCACCTGGTAACAGAAATGCATTTGGGACCTGGTTTCTGGTATGTGTATGATACCCCACTCTTCATTCACCGTGAGGATTCTTTTTGGTTTTAATCTAGGTTGAAGAAAAAAGTGCTAGAAAGAGTTAAACTCAGCCTGAAGCTAAAAATTGTTGCAGTATATTATAGGATGCTGAGCACTATCACACTTCCCACTGACTCTCTCAGATGGAGGCACATATGTGGGCTCAGACGTGCGCAAAGAAACTAGAAGCAAGTTTCTGAGATAGTTGCGCAGCTAGGCTAGGTGTTACAGGAGTAGGTGGCAATATGTTTATCTCCCTTTCTCACTGTTATCTCACTCAAAGTTAGCTTGAACAACATCAGTCTTTATTGAAAAGTATATTATTCTGGAAGATATTAGAATGAAATTCGTATCTCTACAAAATATAAGATATTCTACTATATCATAGCATTCTTATTAAATAGCCATAGGATAACGGCTTACATGGCTTAAGCATGTGATAAACAAATATGACAACATATAACAACAATAAACAGAATCACTGAAATTTTAAGTGTCCTTTAATCAACTTGATAAATCATAGAGATCTTTTAAAGATTTTTCGTCACTTTTTAAATTCCATTTCACAAGAACTATAAATACTAATTTCTGTCACCTTTTATGACCTTCAGACTGTTTGTATTTATATCCCATGAAATGGCATTTAGAAAAATTTCATGCTCTCTGTTGTTATTTCAGAGGTGTAGCTTGATGAGGAAAATGGTACAAGTCTTACCACTATAGATAGGTCTTATTAATACTAACCCATTATTATATGTCATTTTTCAGTATATCACACATGTTTTTTGATGTCCCTGGACCATACTTGAGAAAAGTTCTGTTTCTTCCTATGCTTGTCAAGCTATTCAATCAAAATAAAAACCCAAATCTCAAGTAAACGTTCACATTTCTAACATGTTTGGGTTCAGTTTTAAAGCACAAAAATATTAGCTTATTTGGAAGGCTTGGTTTCTAAAGTATGATTGCATTCTTTTTTTTTCCTGTTGATTTCATAGTCAATGCTTATTAAAATGCTTTGTTTGAAAAATAATGCTTTCCAAAATACAATTTATGAAAATCTTGTAGACAAAATGTGCCACTGGTATAATAAGCTCAATGGTATTGATGTTGTTAACTGACATTCTTGAAACTCTGTGGTGTCATCTCTTTATCTTTTAAAGAAATGTTTCTAATTCCTTTTTTTTTTTTCTTTAAACAATAGCGAATCAAAGAAGGTAGCCTTATGGACCAAATCAAAACGATCTGTGCAGGTGATCACATAGAGACTATAAATGGAAAAAATGTGTCAGGTTGTCGGCATTATGAAGTTGCCAAAATGCTGAAAGATCTGGAGAAAGGTCAGATGTTTAAGCTGGAGTTGATAGAGCCTATGAAAGCATTTGGTGAGTTGCCTGACTGTCCACATTTTTCACTAGATATTGAAATCCCAACATTGCATTGCATCGTAAGTTTCTTTTCATATTGCAGCCAAGTGTCCACCCAACCCAACATAACTGCTACAAGAAAGTACTTTTTTTAAAAAAAAAAAAAAAATTTTGAAGTGGGAAATTGATGAATATGTTTTCTTCCACCTTACTTTCTCCAGCAGTCATCCTGGTCTAGGCTGCCTCAGCCTGAGTCTCAGTTGCTTGATTCCTTGGCCACTACATTATGATGCAAAATAAGTACTGGAATCATTTCAAAGATACAATTTTAAAGCATGGATCACTTCACTAACGTGCTGATCCTCGAACCTCCTCTTTTCCTCTATTGATACATGATCCCTCTTCAACTGTGGGTCAAACTTTTCTGTTTCTGTACCCTTTGTTGGAGACCGCACTCTCTAATGTGGAGGGATGCTGCAGAAAATGCTGCCTGGGATTTCCTAGAGCAGCTCCTTCGCTGCATGCCTGCTGTCTCTCTCCCCAGCTTTTTTGTGCATCTCTAATCATACAGATACTCTCAGAATTGGAAGAAAGCAGTATGGAAAAGCTCTGTCTTTACTTACCACCTGTGTGCTGTGAGAAACTGATAACTTCTGTAGGAGAAATGCATACCTACTGCTAATCTGTATTAATTTTATCACTGTGGTAAACAAAAAGAAAAAAAAGTAGGTTTAGCTCAGGGAGCCAAAATAGAGACTGAGTTTTAATTTTTATTCTCTCAATTTTTTATATTCCCCCCTCTCCAAACTGTGTCGTGTTTTTCTGTAATAAAAAGTTAAAAATACTACTAAACTATAAGTGTGTATGAGTCCTTGTGCACACTAGCGCTAACAGCAAGTTCAAAATCATCATCTTCACCACAGCAGCAAAAGTTTGAAATGTTTATTTTTCAAATCTTTTTTTTTTACCTGGTAGCAGCCGACAGCTGCTGTCATACACCAGTCTTGACACTTGGTGTCAGAATAACAGCAGAAATTGAAAATGAGAGCAATGTGATGGTTTTTTTTGCTTTTGGTGCTTCTTTGAAGAATGAAATTTATTAGTTAATCTCAAATGCATTGGTTATAAGTTGATACTCTTGTTAAGTATGTGTGTGTTATACATTATGTTAAAAGTAGTATTACGTATGTGTAATACTGCACTTAGTGATATAGGAATACCTTTTTAATATGGGTCTATAATTTGTATTTAGTACTAAATATATTACATAGTCTGCTTGTAAAGACCAAGGTAAATTGGCATTTGATTGAAGACTTCAGCCATTATTTAATAGTAATTACTTCAGTCAGGTGATTAAGATGCCTTTAAGTCTGCCTGTGATGTAGAGAAGGAAACTTGCGAATTCCATAGCAATACCTTTTATCTGACATTGAATTAAGAGGCAAACAAAGATTTTTGGACAAATTTTTGAAAGATGCATGTTATATTTTTACCCTACAGAAATTAATTTACAAGTTGTAATGCCCAATAGGTTAGAATATCCCGCCTCTAGCCTTAGGTGCAGTTAGGCTTTAGGCACAAATTTATTCAAGATACTGCTTAAGCTGCAGCATGCTGAGAATAGCCCCGGAAGAGACGACAAACAAGATCTGGATTTTACTGGACAAGTAGGTGCCGAATGCTTGTTAGTTTTAACACAAGTTTGTGAGGGTATAGAAATAAGAGACAAGCCTCTGTGTGAAATTGCTAACGTTTATTTTAATTCCTCCCAGCAGAATGTGAAATAAGTATAATTTACTGGTTGGGAATCTTTATATCATGTGCACACAGGCTGCCTCAGCTCCTCTGGGCAAGGCTTGCAGCACAGAATTAAAAACTTGTCTGAATAAGATTGGTACTTAGCAGTCGTAAGTCGACTCTCTATGAATTGATGAAAAATTAATAGAAACAAAGTAAAGGCAGCATAACACAAACTCTCAGTTTAAATGATGTGAATAGGAAAAATAGTTTCTGTGACGGCCAGAGAGCTTTGGCCTGAAGTATTGCAGATAAAGGCTATGTCAAATCATGAGTTTTAAGGTGCTAATGGTGATAGAACTAGAAAAAGATGTATGTTTTATCAGAAATGACTTTTTGATACAAGTCAACAGAAACTATGACAATCCTAAGGATGTTTTAAACTGTCCTTGAAGCAATAAAAGGATTAAAGACAAGTGTTGATCCTAAGTATAGATGTAAGAGACTGTGCCATATCTATTTGTTAAAATAAAAGTAATTAAAATTTACTTTCCAAGACTTGTTCGGCAGAATAATCTGGATTTTTGACTATTTATGCAAGAATGATGATTTGAAATCTACCTAGGCACAATTAATATAGCATGTTGAAGTCTTGCCATCAAGAAGAGCTTATTAGAAAAGCCTACTGTTAAGAGGTGGAATAATCTGGTGGAGAAAACAGCACAGTTAAAAACATTTCTGCAAAATTATCTCCTATCTTCTAGCACTTTCCAGATTAACTATGTAACTCCCATGTCAGTAAGTAAATTAAAGCCTTGCCACTCTAGAGTGTAAAATTATGTCCTAGAAGAAGAGAGCCAAATCTTAAATGATTCCATACTCTGTTTACTAACTGTGGTGCCCTTACACAAGATTAAACAAGGAAAACTGAATTCAGGTAAAGAAAACTTTGGATAAACTCAGGTATTCTTGGTAGAGATTTTTCGGGTATGAAATCATGCCCTTGATGAAACCAATGGAAAAACTACACATCTACTTATGGACGTTTCCCCTATGTGACTGCTAGTAATGAAATTGTTAGCTCAGCTCAAATGTGGCTCATCGTGATCTCTTTAGCAGTAGTGTTTGTGCTATTGCATCAGTGGAGGATGGAAATGTTGCAATGCAAAACCTGCTACATGATCTGCCTGTAAAGACCAGGATAAATCAGCGTTTGGCTGACGACTTCAGCCATTATCTAATATTAAGTAATAAATACTTCTGCTTTTCTGTAGAATAGGGAAATAAAATTATACAAAGTGCATATATGAAGTTGAGTGCAATAGGCTTGCATAGATATATTGGTCAATGGAAGTCCTAGCTTCAGTGCAGTCAAGCAGATATCAAAGTTTGAAGACAAGAAATTGTCAGTGAAGCTATACTTAGAGTACAGTTAATTTATAACTGATTTTTTACATACGTTTAGGTCTTGATTGGAATAAAAAGTGAAGGTAATGTAATAGCCAAAGCAGACACATCAACTTCTGACATACCATATACTTAGTTTTGTTCAATATTCTTTTTTTTTTGTTCTTGTTCTTTGTTTTGTCTTTAGAAAAGCTGGAACCAAGGTCCAAAGGTAGAACTCTGCCAGAGGCTAAAATTTCCAGAGGGAAAGAAACACTTCGTCTGAGAACCAAAGGCCCAGCTACTGTGGAGGAAATGGTATGGTTATCTTGGGACCTTTCAGTAGTTTAATCATCTAGCATCTGATTTATTTTTCCTCAAGGCTGGTAAGGTCAAATAGGAAGGAAAAATCTTGATGTTATAAACCTTGTGGAACTTAAGGAGGAGACTGCCTTCTGCAGGGAGAAATGCTTATAGAAAGTTGAAGATGAACAGGGAGAGGATGGGGCTGAGGAACCTGGAAACAGAGATCCTATATTTAGATGTCATGGATTACATGGATGAATTTAAGGTAGATTAGACCAAGGAGCATTGAAAAGAGGGGAAGAAAAAAGGGAGGGATGATTGAAGAGTTGGTTCTATTTCTGATACTGCAAAGTATACTAGACTGGTTTAAGGATTGCTGTTAGGAGAGGTTAATAACATACATTGACGTGAACATGTGTAAAACCAGGATTAGGGTTTGGAAGAAGAAATGTGGGGTTTTTTTCTGGATTCCTGTAAAGCTGATGAGGAATTTATGAGGATCTGTATTGTCAGGAGATGTAAGGCCCCTGTTTAGTTTGAATGTGAGAGCTGCATGACTGGACATT